GGAACACTCTGTATATGTCTATCAAGTCCATTTGTTCACAGGTGTGATTCAGTTCTGTTATTTCTTTGGTGGTTTTCTGTCTGGTTGATCTGTCCCTTGTTGCCAATGGTGTGTTAAGGTCTTCTGTTACAATTGTGTTACTGATAATTTGATTTTTCATTTCTGTTAATGCTCATTTTATATAATGGGGTGCTCTGGAATTTGGTGCATATATATTTAAGATAGTTATCTCTTCCTCTTAAAGTTTTCCCCTAACAAGTATGTAGTGACCTTCTTTGTCTCTTTGGATCATTATTGGTTTAAAGTTCACATTGTCTGCAAACAGAATGGCTCCTCCTGCATTGGTTTTTTTTTTTTTTTTTTTTTTTTTTTGGCTTCCTGTTGAGTGAAGTATTGTTTTCCATCCTTTGACTTTCAGTCTGTGAGTATCCTTTTGGGTTAGATGGGTTTCTTGTAGAGAGCATATGGTTGGATTTTGTTTCTTGATCCATTCTGCCAGTCTGTTTCTTTTAATTGGTGCATTGAGTCCATTTACATTAATGGTTGTAACTGTTATATGTTGGTTTATTGTTGACATGTTGTCTTTCTGCTGTTGCATCTTTATCTTATATTTCTGTTCTATTTAATTGTCTGCTTTGCTTAGTTGTTTTTCCCAAGTGTGTCTAAACTGTTTTTCAATATTTTTTGCAGGGTTGTCTTGGTGATATGAAGTTCTTTAGCTGTTGTTTGTCATGGAAGTATCTTATTTATCCATTGATTTTGAAGGACAGTTTTTCAGGGTACATCAGTCTAGGTTGGAAATCATTTTCCTGTAGGATTTAAAATACTTCACTCCATGCGCTTCTTGACTTTATTGTTTGTGCTGAGAAGTCTGCTGTGATTCTGATAGGTTTTCCTTTATAAGTGATCTGTCTTTTCTCTCTGACAGCTTTTAATATTCTATTCTTATGTTGGATTTCTGGGATGGTGATTATTACATGTCTGCATGTAGTTTTATTTTGGTTATGACTTTTTGGAGTTCTGTATGCTTCACTGATCCTGATGTTGGGTTTCTGATCTCATGTTTGGGAATTTTCAGCTATTACTTCTCTAAATATCCTCTTGACATCCTTTATGTCATCCCCTTCTTTTTCATTTATCCCAATTAATCTTATGTTGTTTTTCTTTGCATCATCTTGCAGCTGTTGAGTTGTTATTTCCTGATTCCTTGTTATTTTTAAAAGATATTTCATTTCCTGTTCACTAGCTGCAATCCTGTCTTCAAGGTCTGAAATTCTATCTTCACTTTCATTGAGGTGGTTTTTACAGCTTTTAGTGGAATTTCTGATTTCCTATATATCTCTGTGCATCTGTTTTATGTATTCTGTTTGTTTCTTATATTGCTCATCTAGAGATTCTATCTTTTTGTTTAGTTCCTCCAATTTTTTAACTGTGTTTTCTTTAGATATATTCAGCATCTCTTTCATTTCTTTTATCATTTCTTCTTTTACCTGGAAGATTATTTCTCATTTGAACTCCTTTAAAGCTTTCCGGAGTTGCTTGTTTATTTCAGTAGCTATTATGTCCGATATTTGAGCTGTATGGCATATATTTTCTTCTATATACATCGCTCCTAAGGTTCCTTTGGATGGGCTGAAGGTTTGAGATTGTAATTTGGTCTTTCATTTTGTCATTTTCGTATATTTCTGTGTTTGAAGTGTTTCAAGTGTTATTCTAAGGCTGCCTCAGGGTCCGTTGGAAATCCTCTTCTATGCCCACACCTCCTGGGACTCTAGCACCTAGTTCCCTGGATTGATAGAGGGTCACTGGGGGTGGAGCAGGCTGGCTCAAGCACCTGCCTGCTTGCTTAGAACTCCACAGTCCTCCAAGCACAGACAGTAACAGGAGGCGGATGCAGGTGCCCCAGACCTGCTGAGCTGTTCCAGTGCACCTGGAAGCCATAAGGGTCCCAAACAAGCTGGAATTCCACTCTTTAGGTATGTGCACATGGATGAAGTAGTGATAAGTTACTGAGATTTTTTTTGTGTGCTGTTTTCTCATTTGTGAAGTTGTTTCAGAAAGCTGAGCCAGATAGAAATATTGTAAAGCAGTTAGATAGGACTAGGCCCTTGAAAGACCCAGTGCAGAAGATGAGATACCTTGCAACTGTGGAGAAGACAGACACCTACTGCTGTGGACCAAATCTCTCTAAAAAACAAATATACCATACACTTTCTAAGGATAAGCATCAGGAATTTATATTCTAAATAGGTCACTAGTGCCCTGAAGAAGCCAAGAATCACTATCCAAATAGCCTATAGGAAAAATACTGCTCTTTATGCGTGCCCACTTGCTACCTGGCTTGCTTCCCCATTTGTCCCAATTTAATCAATTTTACCTGAGCAGTTAATCTTACTGGTTGGCCATAGTTCTGTCCCATCTCATCCCCACCTTGCATGCTCCCATGTTTCTCCCCCTTGGACCTGCCTCACTTTGTGGTTTTGCTCTATAAAAATCCCTAGAAAAGACAGAGTCTGGCAACTCACTCGGGACCCCTTCTGTCTCTCTCTCAGACAGAAGCTTGCTTTCTTTCAATAAATATATTCTGCTCCTAACCTCTGGTATTCCTAAAATTCATTCTTTGATTTTAGAGAACATAAACTCATACCAGACATCTAGTAGGTTGAGGTCTTCTTTCCTCTATATCAAAATAAGGACAATGAAAACTTACCTCATTAGGACTGTTTTGATAATTAAACAAGATAATATTTGTAGAACCTCAGAATATTCCCTGATATGTAACTGCTCCTCTAGTAATAATAGATTAATGAATTATAATAAGTGAGGTTAGGAGGTTCTCTGGAGGTTTGTTTTTTGTTCACAAAATGGATGACTAACACAGTGAGCATGTTTTGCTATAAGAAATATAGAGGATTAAAGACAGCAAAATAAGACTGTCAGGAAAATATGATCTTTCCAGAACCTGAAATCAAGATATCTGAATTGACAACTTGGAAAAAAACAAGAAAAATACAGAAGTAGTTCCTCAGGGATCAGGAGATAGCTGACAGGAAATCAGGAAAATACAGAGAAGATGGAGAAATGAAGCAAAGTACAAAAAAAAGGATAAAGCAGCCTGGAAAGCTGACCATGATTCCCAGGAGGAGAAGGGGACCTGTCTCCACTAACATTAGGTAAGCCTGGGGAATGTGGGCAGCTGCAGAAAGAAACAACTGGTGACAGCAGTACAAGTCCCAAGAAAAGGCCACAGTTGTTATAAACTGTAAAAAGAGCATGCAGTTTTACTCTGAAAGGCACTCTTTCCAAAGGTAGATAAGAAACCCACTGCAGCACTGATACTATTAGAAAGTGTCTACCACGAACCATTCTGAGAAAGGATTGACTAAGGCTGAGCTATAGAATAACTATAAAATGACTACCCTTCTGAGTTTCTGGTATCACCAACAGTGACTGAGTATGAGACAGCCACAAGAAACAGCCCCAGAGAAGCCATGGGCTAGACTTAGACCCCTGAGAAGTTTAAATTCATGGCAGAAAAGACATAGGGAGCCCCCTCTTCCATGGTGAGATGCCACATCAGTCATGAGTGACTTTCAGAAGGCACTAGATCTTAAAGTGCTTGCATTAAGTCCAGGGAACAGTTAGTCTACAGCTAGAAGATAGGGGTGATGCTTGACCTCATTTCCCTCAGCTGACACCCAGCACAGAGCTCAGGGTTTGTTACCCCCCCCACCCATCTGCTATGATCATAAACATACCATGACTTTGAGGTTTAGACAGTTACCAGAGCCAGGGATGTATGTGCAAAGGTGCCTTGAGTGTTGGGTGGGATGCTCACAAATCCATGGGCTATAAATCTAGGCAGAGAAAGTTATGACTTGGAGAATACAGAAAGAAATAGAAACTGGGAGGGGGTGGAGTGAATATAACCCTAGAGCAATATACCCCAGGCACTGAGGGACTACTCAGACAGGTTTGTGTGTGTGCAAAAGGCTATTTTAATTCACTCTGGTAGAAGCAGGCTGGGTCCAAAAGAGCGGCAACAAGGAGCAAGGAGAGGACAAAGGCTTGAAAAGAGAGGGGAGGAGTTACTGCCTTGAGAAATTTGGGGGCAGTGACAGTGTGGTCACTTTTCTCAGAATGAGTGGTACAGATGCACATGGCTTTCTTCTCCTTATGTGGTTTTCCAGTCTGTGCCTTCTAGTAATAGCCTTGCTAGATATGATAGTTTTTCTTTTCTCTAACAGTCATCAATAAGAATATTGTGCTGAATTTCTGGAATCTTGAGTATTATGTGTCTTCATGTAGATTGATTTTTGTTAGGGCTAAATGGAGTTTTATTTGCCTCACTTATCTGTATGTCAAATTCTGTTTCTATGTTTGGAAATTTTTCTTCTATTATTTTTGCAAATAGTCTTTTTATGTGATTTGTGTTGACTTCTGCTTTTTCATTGCCACCTCTTGAGAGAATCGACTCCCCGTTTGTGATGTAACCCCCCCCCCCGAGCTATAGAACAGAGCTGTAAGGAATGTCTCACTCCCTAATTCTTCCTTGAGATATCGGAGCAGGACAGGAAGGAATGCATTTGCTAGTCATTAACCACAAGATGTTCTGTCCTCTGTAAAGGAAAAGATAAGTAAAGGAATGTGCTGTTCAAATGAGACCGAGTTGTACCTGGCACTCTGAGATCAGACCAGGACCCTCAGTCTCCATGGTTACTCAGCCCCAGACCCCTTGAATCAGCATCTGCCAAAGTCCTGCACCGTTCAAAATTAACCAATGCGATCTGCTTCTGTAAACCTGCTTGCTTCCCGCTTGTGCCCTTAAAAACCCTGCACAAATTCCCCTCGGGGCCCTCCGCACTCGTTTGCCTGGAGGACCCCATGCGCATGGAAATAAACTTTTTTTTTCCTCACCAAGAGTTGAGTCCTTGGGGGTCTCTTTCCCTGCGGCGGCGGCCCTAACATTCTGGGGCCAGCGAGATAGCACGCCTCACGGGAGGTGACCTCAACGGCTCTGCGGTGGGTGAGTACGACCGGTCGCTTCTTATTTTTACTCTGAGGATCAATCTACCGGTATTTTACGCCCCGAGCCAAACGGCTCCGATCTAGGGGCAATTTTTGTTACCTGTTTTTGTTATCTGTTCTCTGTTCTCTGGTGACCGGGGGACGCCCCACACGGTTTTCCGTGACTCACCGTCTGCGATAGGATTTTCCTATCGGTCTGGGGAATTTCATTCCCAATCTGTGGTCCGTCCGGGCCAATTCGGAGACACCCTCTGAGGTGACTCATCTGGGCCAATCTGGAGACACCCTGTAAGGTGGCTCGTTTGGAGTGAAACTGATGCGTGAGAGTGAGGTGGCCGGCCTGTTTGTCCTGTGTGTTGTGGGTGTCGTGTTTAGTTATTTGTTGTATCGCGCTTGCGTTAACCGCCCTGTGACCATAGAACATCATGGGACAGTCGACCTCATCCCCATTGTCCCTCACCCTCGACCATTGGTCGGAGGTGCAGAAGAGGGCTCACAATCTCTCCTTGCAGGTCAAGAAGAGTAAATGGCAGAATTTCTGCTCAACTGAGTGGCCCACTTTTTCAGTGGGATGGCCGCCGGAGGGGACTTTCCATCTGCCCCTCATCCTAGCAGTTAAGAACATCATCTTCCACCCAGGACAAGGAGGCCACCCTGATCAGGTCACTTACATCTTGGTATGGCAGGACCTCAGGGAGGAACCCCCACCGTGGGTGAAACCCTTTCTTCCCCCTTCTGACTCCTCTATACCAAAGCTCTTAGCTCTGAAAGGACCTCCCGCTCCGGCTCCAGTCCTGCCCGAGTCTCAGCCTGATCTACCTCTGCTCCACTATGACCGGCCTCTTCCTTCCCAGCCAGCTCAACCTCCCCCATATCCACTCTCTTCTCCAGCCTCCTCGTCTGGATCGAGCACTCCTTCTCCTTCAGCACCCTCTTCACCTGAACCGAACCCCTCTTTTCCTCCAATACCCATGTCCCCTCTGTATCCCCCACTCCCTATGATGGCTTGCTCTGGGTCTACACCTCCAGGGCCCACAGGCCCAGCCCAGAACACTCGAAGCAAGCTACGGCCTGAGGACCCAGTTGTTACCCTTCCCCTTCGCCCCTACGGGCCCATGATAGATGACGGGTCGGATGGAGGGCAGATGCCCGCTTTACAGTACTGGCCTTTTTCTACCTCAGATCTCTATAACTGGAAAAACAATAACCCTCCTTTCTCTGATGATCCGTCTAAGTTAGCAGGTTTAATGGATTCTATCATGTTCTCCCACCAACCCACATGGGATGACTGCCAGCAGCTTCTAGGGGTCCTGTTCACCACCGAGGAGAGAGACCGCATCCTTCTGGAAGCCCGGAAAGCTGTTCCTGGAGAAAACGGCAGACCCACCCAGAGACCAGACCTGATTGATGATTTCTTCCCCTTAAAACGCCCCAACTGGGACCCCAACTCACCTACCGGTAGGCAGCATCTTTCTATCTATCGCCAGACTCTAATGGCAGGTCTCCAGGCGGCCGCAAGGTGCCCCACTAATTTGGCCAAGGTAAGGGAAGTTACCCAAGGGCCCACTGAGACCCCCTCAGTTTTTCTGGAATGCCTGATGGAAGCTTACCGGCGGTACACGCCTTTTAACCCTGAAGAGGAAGGCCGACAAGGCTCAATAGCCATGGCCTTCATAGGACAATTGGCTCCTGATATAAGACGTAAGCTCCAAAGGCTGGATGGTCTGCAAGACCTAACTCTGAGGGATCTTGTTAAGGAAGCTGAAAAAGTCTACTATAAACGGGAGACAGAAGAGGAAAAAGAGTTAGCTAGGGACAAAAGATGAAGCAAGGAACTAGCTAAAATGTTGGCCACAGTTATTCAGGGAAAACCTGAGACAGGAAAGGGAAAGCCCACTCGCCCCCCATTAGACCCTGACCAATGTGCATATTGTAAGGAAAAAGGACACCTGATCAAAGACTGTGAGAAATTGAGAAAGAAACGAGCCAGAGAGGAACGAGAAAAACAGTCCTCGCAGCGGCCCCAAGCCCCCATGCTCGCCTTAGATGAAGAGGACTAGGGACTTCGGGGCTCGGACTCCCTCCCCGAGCTCAGGGTAATGTTTAAAGTGGAGGGGACTCCCATAGAATTCGAGGTCGATATGGGAGCTGTTTACTCGGCCCTTCAGGCCCCCTTAGGGGCCCTTTCAACTAAGAAATCTCTAGTTCAAGGGGCTAACGGGAGCAAATATCGCTCGTGGACCACTGAGCGCACAGTTGACCTAGGCAAAGGAAAAGTAAAACACTCCTTCCTGGTTATTCCTGAATGCCCTGCTCCCCTCCTGGGACGAGACTTATTAACCAAACTGGGGGCGAAAATCTCCTTTGAGCCCCAAGGACCTCAGGTGACATTCCGTAACCCAAAGGTTGGGCAACCCATGGTTACAGTGTTATCTCTAAAATTGGAAGATGAGTATAGGCTCTACAACCACCGAGACCCCCAGCCCATCGCCCCTGCCTGGCTAACTGATTTTAAAGACTCCTGGGCTGAGACAGCTGGGCTCGGGCTGGCAAGCCAGCAACCACCTGTGGTGGTTACTCTAAAAGCCACCGCCTCCCCTATTCGAGTTAAACAATATCCCATTAATAGAGAAGCTCACCTAGGGGTCAAGGTACACATACAGAGACTTTTAGACCAAGGGGTATTGACTCCTTGTCGGTCTGCATGGAATACTCCGCTGCTCCCGGTCAAAAAGCCCGGGGCAAATGACTACAGACCGGTACAGGACTTGAGGGAAGTCAACAGCAGGGTGGAGGACATTCACCCCACCGTACCCAATCCTTATAATCTCCTCAGCGGTTTGAATCCGTCAAGGACTTGGTACACTGTTCTGGATTTAAAGGATGCCTTTTTCTGTTTGCCTTTGCACAAAGATAGCCAGCCCTTGTTTGCGTTTGAATGGACGGACCCCGAGACTGGGTCCACCGGACAATTGACCTGGACGCGCCTCCCACAGGGCTTCAAAAACAGCCCAACCATCTTTGATGAGGCTCTACACAAGGATTTAGCCCCCTTTCGGGCTCAACACCCGAACCTCACCCTCCTTCAATATGTAGATGACTTGCTGCTGGCTGCGGACTCTGAGGGTGACTGCACCAGTGGAACTCAGGACCTTTTACGTGAGTTGGCTATCCTGGGATATAGGGTATCGGCAAAAAAGGCTCAAATTTGTAAACGAGAGGTAATTTTCCTGGGCTACTCCTTAAAAGGGGGGAAAAGATGGCTCACTGAGGCTAGAAAACAGACTGTGGTCCAGATTCCCCCTCCAAAGAGCCAAAAACAATTACGAGAATTCCTGGGTACCGCGGGGTTTTGCCGGTTGTGGATCCCTGGGTTCGCAACCTTAGCAGCTCCCCTATACCCGTTACTGAAGGGGGGATCTCCCTTTGTTTGGGAAAAAGACCACCAGCAGGCCTTTGATGCCATCAAGTGGGCCCTCCTATCCGCTCCAGCCCTGGCCCTTCCTAATGTGGATAAACCCTTTACTCTCTTCATTGAAGAGAAGAAAGGAATAGCGAGAGGAGTACTAACCCAGGGCTTTGGGCCATGGAGGCGTCCGGTGGCCTACCTCTCGAAAAGACTGGACACTGTGGCGAGCAGGTGGCCGCCCTGCTTAAAGGCCATCGCAGCGGCTGCCTTGCTCATCAAGGATGCTGATAAATTGACTTTGGGACAAAAAATAACAATCATTGCCCCGCATACGCTAGAAAGCATCATCCGCCAACCTCCAGACAGGTGGTTCTCAAATGCCAGAGTTACTCATTATCAGAGTCTCTTGCTCAACAAGGACAAGATAACTTTTGGACCCCCGGTGACTCTCAACCCGGAGACCCTGCTGCCGGAAGAAGCTCCGGAACCCATCCTCCATACCTGCCAGGACATCTTGGCAGAAGAGGCCAGAGTACAACCGGACTTATTGGATTACCCCCTACTCGATGCAGAGGTGACCTACTTCACTGACGGAAGTAGCTTTTTGATACAAGGTAAGCGGTATGCGGGGGCGGCTGTGACTGATCATTCCAATATTATCTGGACAGCCAGGCTAGAGGACGGGTCCTCGGCCCAAAAGGCCGAACTGATCGCTTTGACTAAGGCTCTGGAGCTCGCCAAAGGGAAGCGGGCAAACATTTACACGGATAGCCGATATGCTTTTGCAACGGCCCACATCCATGGGGCCATCTACCGCCAGCGGGGACTTCTGACCTCCGCAGGCAAAGAAATAAAACACAAACAGGAAATCCTTCAATTGCTAGCTGCAGTTATGTTACCTCAGAAGGTGGCGATAAGACACTGTAATAGCCACCAATTCCTGTCACGAAGGGAAACAACCTGGCCGATCAGGCAGCAAAATCTGCAGCCATGGGAGGCTCACAGATGTTGGTGACTGATATCAAAGATTCTCCTCCCAAAGAGAAAGCTCAGATTAACCAAACCCCTGAGGCATCTGACCTGACTACTTACATACGACAGGCCCACCGGCTCACCCATTTGGGAGTTAAAAAGCTGTGCCTACTGGCCCAACGCCAAGACTTCCCGGGGGCATCCCCCACTGCCATATGCCAGGTCGCCACGTGGGTTGTGACTAATTGTGAGGCATGTCAATTGACCAATGCCTACCCTGCCAAGCTGGCCCCCGGCAAAAGGCTACGTGGTACTAGGCCTGGACAATACTGGGAAGTGGACCTTACAGAAGTTAAACCTGCCCGATGTGGACTAAAATATCTGCTAGTTTTTGTGGACACCTTTTCTGGATGGACTGAGGCTTTTCCTACCAAAAAGGAAACTGCTGCCATGGTAACAAAAAAGTTGATGGAAGAAATTTTTCCCCGGTTTGGATTGCCAAAGGTAATAGGGTCCGATAATGGGCCGGCGTTTATGGCTAAGGTAAGTCAGGGACTGGCCAACATATTGGGGATTGATTGGAAGTTACATTGTGCTTATAGACCCCAAAGTTCAGGACAGGTAGAAAGAATGAATAGAACTATTAAGGAGACCCTCACTAAATTGGCTCATGAGACTGGCTTAAAAGATTGGACGATGCTCCTGCCTTATGCCCTTTTTCGCGCGCGAAACACCCCGTCAGCCAAACCCCCTAACCTTACTCCCTTTGAGATCCTCTTTGGCACTCCACCCCCCATTCGGGATCTCACTCCCTTAGCTGAACATGCTGCCTTGTTGCCAACCTCCCTGTCTGACAGGCTCATCGCCCTCGACAATCTACAGAGGGACGTGTGGACGCAACTAGCCTCGGCCTACGCCCCCAGTGAGTTCCCTGCACCACATCCGTACCAAGTGGGAGACTTTGTGTTCGTCCAGCGCCACCAACAAGAGACTCTGCAGCCTCGCTGGAAAGGACCATACCAGGTCCTATTGACTACTCCTACAGCGGTAAAGGTTGACGGAATCGCCTCTTGGGTACACGCGTCACATCTAAAGCCTGCTTCAGCGCCAGAGGACGGCTCCTGGGAACTCAAACGGTCTGATAACCCCTTGAAACTTAAACTGAGCCGAAAGACTCTTTGATGCTGTTTCTGTACACTCCCCTTGTGTATTATTGCAAGATGACCCAGCAAAAACCCCAGATTGTAACCCCCTGGGCTATAATGAAATTACTCATGTTAGTGTTAGTCACCCCTACAATAGCTAACCCCCACCGCCCTTGGATCTGGTCTTTGATTAAGTGGGACAACCAAGAGGTGGTCGGCAAGTGGGAAGGATCAGGTAATCCCACTTTTGCCTTCTTTTCCTGCGATATTGTCCCTCAAGCCCCCTGTATGGATCCATCTCAGGGTGTTTACCTATGCCCAACTTCAGTGGAGGGGAGAACCTATTGTAACTCCCCAGGAGAGTATTACTGTGCTTACTGGGGATGTGAGACGGTGGCCACTGCATGGACACCCACCATAAGGGACCAACACATTAGTCTTTCAAGGTTGACTGGAGCTCGCCCAAAGCCCCCCACTTGTTATGGTGGGGCTTGGGATGCCGAGTCGAGCCAGGGACCTGGACCCTGCCTATACCTGCAACTCACGGTCCTCACCCCCCAAGAGCCTTCATGGGTCACAGGAAAAACTTGGGGGTTTAGATATTATCAAAGTGGAAAAGACTCAGGGGGATATTTGTTTATCAAAAAGGAATTAAAACCAGAAACAAAGCCGTCCCCACCGCCACTGGCCTCAACAATTGCTAAAAGACTTTTATCCCCGGGGCCTAAGGCTACCCAAAATCGAGAACACATGACCTCACCTCGCACCCCCTCCGGGGATTTAACTAATCCTCCTGAGTCGGGACTCGTCCCTCCAACCGTGAGCTCTCTTCTCAGCCTTATACTTGGGGCTCATAAAGCCCTTAATCTTACCTATCCAGACCTAGCCCAAGCTTGTTGGTTATGTCTAAGTGCTAACCCTCCATATTATGAGGGGACTGCTCTAAATGATTCCTATACGCTGACCCCTGATTCTGACCAGTGCGATTGGGATCACGTGTTCCACACCCTTCCTTTACCTGGCCTCGCTAGCCGAGGAACCTGTATAGGGACACTTGATAATTGGCCTGCAGACCTACGCCATCGCTGCCTCACACATACCTGCTCCTTCCCCAGAAACCAGTACCTCATCCCTCCCACCGGGGCATTCTGGTTATGTACTACGGGGCTCACCCCTTGTGTTTCCACAAATGTACTCCTTGCAGGGGACAGCTCCTGCATCCTCATAGACCTTATGCCACGCATTAAGTATCTCCCTCCTGACATGCTCCCCCTCATGAAAGGTCGATATAAATGGGAACCTGTCTCCCTGACCCTGGCAGTCTTATTAGGGATAGGTGTGGCAGGGGGGATAGGAACTGGTACAGCAGCCCTCATTACTGGGCTACAGTCCCGCCAGCAGCTCCTTGCAGTTGTGAACCAGGATCTACAGGCCCTAGAGACATCTATAACTGCATTACAACAATCTCTCTCATCTCTATCTGAAGTAGTGTTACAAAACAGAAGAGGCTTAGATCTTTTGTTTTTAAAAGAAGGGGGTCTCTGCGCCGCACTTAGAGAAGAATGTTGTTTTTACATTGATCATACTGGGATTGTAAAAGATGCAATGGAAAAGTTGAGAGAGAGAATCAGATCTCGAGAGCCCCCTTCAAGTGAAGCCAAAGTGTTCTCTTTCTGGGAATCAATCCTGCCCTATATTCTCCCTTTATTGGGACCCCTGGCCGGATTCATTATAGTCATAGCTATAGCCCCTTGCCTCATTAACCGAGTAACCCGGTTTGTGAGGGCCCAGATTTCTCAAGTAAAAGTTATGGTGCTACGTCAACAATATGATCCCTTACCCATACAGGACCTTTAAGATTAAAAGTCATTTGCAAAAAAAAAAAAGGGGGGGAATGAGAGAATCGACTCCCTGTTTGTGATGTAACCCCCCCGCCCCGAGCTATAGAACAGAACTGTAAGGAATGTCTCACTCCCTAATTCTTCCTTGAGATATCGGAGCAGGACAGGAAGGAATGCTTTTGCTAGTCATTAACCACAAGATGTTCTGTCCTCTGTAAAGGAAAAGATAAGTAAAGGAATGTGCTGTTCAAACGAGACCGAGTTGTACCTGGCACTCTGAGATCAGACCAGGACCCTCAGTCTCCATGGTTACTCAGCCCCAGACCCCTTGAATCAGCATCTGCCAAAGTCCTGCACCGTTCAAAATTAACCAATGCGATCTGCTTCTGTAAACCTGCTTGCTTCCCACTTGTGCCCTTAAAAACCCTGCACAAATTCCCCTCGGGACCCTCCGCACTCGTTTGCCTGGAGGACCCCATGCACATGGAAACAAACTTTTTTTTCCCTCACCAAGAGTTGAGTCCTTGGGGTCTCTTTCCCTGCAGCGGCGGCCCTAACACTCTCAGTTTTATATCATTTTTCTTTGTATCTTTTGGGAACTGTTAAATTGTTATTTCTTAATTCCCTTATCATTTTTAAGAGATCTTTCCTTTTATGATCACTAGTTGCAACCTTATCTTCAAGGTCTGAAAGTCTATCTTCAATTTTTTTCAAGCAGTTTTGCCAGCTTTCAGTGGAATATCTAATTTCCTGGATATTTGTTTAAATCAATTTCATGCTATTTCTTTTCTACATTGATCTTTCATAGTTTCCATTCTTTTCATATCATCACCTATTTTTTGTCTATCTCTTTTGTATATTTGCTGATAAATTGCTTTATGAATGTTGAAATTTCTCATTTTAACTGAGAAATTACATATGATCTGATATCCTCTATAGCCTCATGAATTCAATTTTTACTTCATTTGCTATCATTTCAGAAATTTCAAGCATGTGTCTTACATTTTCCTCTATCTCCTTGTCTCCTGGACTAGTTCTGGGTGGGCTGGAGGTCTGAGATTGCATCTTGCCTCTGTGTCTTCCTATTTTCTGTTTCAAAATTTTTTGTTTTGTTTTCTGTCAATGCAGAAGTCCTTGTAAGGTTTGTAGTAGGTAGCCATATCATTAGTATCAACTCTTCTCTAGTAAAAGTCTGTTCCTCATGGATGCTTGTGTGTAGGAGTTTCTTGGCTTCTGGCTGTTTCAAGATCCTACTTTCCCAATTAATTAGGAGTGAGATTTTGGTATCTTTTTGGCTCAGTCTCCAGTTCTTGGTGCTGGGCTGTGGTGAGGTTATTATTCCAGAGCTTCCCAGTATTGTTACAGAAGGGAAAACAACTGATTACAAGAGATACAGCATTCTAACTAAAGTAATATAATTAGCAATAACAATAGCATCAGGCACAGTATAGAAACTAATAAACTGTTATAGCTATTAATTTTTTACCTTGGACAACAGAAGCAAGTCTACAAATATGTAACAGAACCAACTGTAAATTGAGAGCTTTTATGCCACATGCTTACCACTGGTAGAGTGGTTTTACCCTGTGGTGGTGAGATTTAAGAAGAACAGTGGATAAAATAAAGATAACTGAAAGGAAAGTAGAAGCCAGGCTAGAAGACAAAGGATGACCATGCAAACTTTGGGAAGCTAGAGGAGAGGGCAGAAGAAAAAGAATGAGGGAATTAGAAAGGGATTATCTGAAATAAGTCTCTAGGTTTGGGGATGGAGTTAGTTTTCTTGACTGGAGTTCTCCCCAGCCATTTAAAAAAATGAAAAGATAAAAAGAAAAAGTGAAACAAACAAACAAACAAGCAAGTAAAGACAACAACAAACAAGGAGTGAACAGGAGAGGCCTCACCTGCCTGCTTCACTTCTGTGTGTCTTTGTCCCAAGGTCAATGCTGGTTCCCCTACCTTACCACTTACTGGATCATGTTGTTGTTGTTGCTTAGTGTCTTCATGCCCCTCCTGTCCATTCTGTACAACCTAGTGGGACCCTACTGCGTCACTGGTGTTCTCCATGGTCTCTGGGCCTTCCCAAGTTGTTCACCACAGTTTGGGCAGCAGTGAGGGGAGGGGCCATTCTCTGGTCCTCTCAAAGTTCACCTTGGTCATGGTGGCAGAGACAGTGATGAGAATGGCCATGCTCCATGTTGTTCACCTGGGTTGCAGCAGCAAAGATGGCTCTCCTCTTTCTTTTTTTATTTCTCAAAATCTGCTTTTTTCATTTTCCTTTTTCCCAACCCCTCCATCATTACTCGTATTACTATTAAGCTTTATTAAGCTTTAGATATTTAGTTGGCTCTATGCCATTGTTAGTAAATTCCTTTCTATTATTAATGGTAGAT